CTTTTAAATATTTATGATATAACGATGGAATTGTTGCTTCTGGGAAGGTTTGATATGCAAATTCTTACTTTTAGGAATATAAAACCAAGATATGTAAAATTCACACATAGTTTAATATTTTGAGATTTATTGTGTGCCTGTGTATGTCTGTGTGAGGTATGTATGTAAATGATCATGTGTGTACGGATGCATACAACCATGAGGGAGTATAGAGGCCAGAGGAGGCCATCAGGTGTCCTGCTCTGTATCTCTCAATCTTATTTCCCATAGACAGGGACGTGTAGCTCCGCATCTTTCAGCCAGACTAGCAGTTAAACTAGCCTCAGTGATGCTCCTGCTTCTGCCCCATTCTTCTTTGCTTCCATAACAAACGTACTTGGTCATATCTGCACATTCCCAATGGGTATTGGCATATCTGATACATTTAGCCATGTCCTCAGCCTCTGAATTTTAATTTCAAAGACAAATATTTATAGCTAATTAATCATAGATAACTTAAAGGAATATAAATTTCATATGCATATTTTATAATTCTTGATAATATCTTCCAGCTACTTAGTAATATTAAAGTCATAGAAATATTTACTGTATATAATCAGATATAAAGAATACAAGATGATTAAATACTGACATAATTAATGCCAAAATTTGCACAAAAGAAGACATACTCCAAATTAAGTTAGGAATAATTTAGTTTATTTTGATTTTCATCATGTATCTGAAATGCCAATAATCCAAAAACCCTAAGTGAGCCGAGACCCTCCAGATAGGAAATTTGACATGTTGTTAACATCTTTGGGATATAAGGATATAGGACGCTCCTAATAAGATCAACATGCCAAGCTTTATTGGTGTTTATAGTGGAAGAGATCTGCATGTAGAGTATTCTCTTTTCTGTTCTATAAAACCTATGTTCCCTGTGCCTCAGTGTGTAGTCTCTACTTTCTTGAGACACCCCTGCCAGTTACTGTTCTGACTGAGAGAAAACTTCTGGAGGGGTCGGTCTCCCCTTTATTTTATTGTCACCTTGACCAATCCCAAATGAACAAGTCCTAATTGCAAAAATGTAAAATTAATGTAATTGAGATTGAACTATAATATGCATAAGTTAACCTAACCGCAATGACTACACATGTTTGTGTGATAGGAAACTATGTCCTTTGATACTGCTAAAGGATTAATATTTCAATTTTGCTTCTTGTTACAGAATTATGAATCCTTAAAAATTGAATATCAATAAGGGAAAAGTAGTTACTACACTGTTATGTTATTATTTGGATTATATTTTATGTCTCATAATTTTAAGTATACCTGTTTGCTAAAAGAAGTCTTTTTTAAAATGAATAAAAGAATCTATTCCATATTTTTCAATTAAAAATAATAAAGGATAACACTCATATACAGTTAAACTATCGCAAATTTGATTTAATAAACAACCTGCAAAAGGTTCTGTAAATGTATGCTCACTGAAGAGCCATCTGGTGCACCGTAATTACTCCCATCATTCATCCCGTTCAGACACTCACTATAATAGCAGGTCCAGGAATATCAGGCATACTTGGGATACACTCTTGGGGACTGCCAATACATAAAGCAATTAACAGTTTTTATTTCCACAGGTATGCTCCTATTCTCATTTTTGTTTTATATTGAAACAGAAAAGATTTGGGGTCTCTGAATGAATTTCATCTAGTATGAGTTTATATCTACTGAAGTATTTCAGAGTGACTTAAAATAAAAATTAAGTCAATAAGTGTGCAACATTAATAGAAACAGAATTTCTTTCATTTTTATATATTAATTATTTTCATCAAATTGATTTTTTTTTCTTGACAGCACTGAAATTCTTGTGGACATTTTATTTTATTTTTAAATATTAGTTACAGTTTATTAACTTTGTATCCCACCTGTGTCCCCCTACCTCATTCTCTCCCATTTCCACCCTCCCTCCCTCATCTTCTCCCTATCCCTTTATAAGTCCACTGATAGAGGAGGACCTCTTCCTTTTTCATCTGACCCTAGCTTATCAGGTATCTTCAGGACTGGCTGCAAAGTCCTCCTCTGTGGCCTAGCAGAGCTGCTCCTCCCTAGGGGGTGTCAAAGAGCCAGCCATTGAGTTCATGTCAGAAATAGTTCCTGTTCCTCTTACTAGGGTACCCACTTGGATACTGAGCTACCATGGGCTATATCTGAGCAGGCATTCTAGGTTTGTTGGACAAGATCACTGAGTTTTGCTCTATGAGGCATTATAGTTATTGTTGGCATATTGTGGATAAGCTTGCATTTACTAAACTAATATTGTCTTTTTTTATAGTTGTATTTTCAGAGTAGAAAAGTATAATGACAAGTTATTTCTAATGGTAAAATAAGAACCAGAGATGTTTTGTTATAAAAATTACATATTCTGTCCTGAGAATTTCATAGTTAATGTCTCCATCTCTGATCTTCCACTTTTAAGCAGCATATCCTTTGTTTCATAGGCTCTATTTCACATCATTTATTTTACTTGATATATTAACATAGTAACTGATTAACAATATATTTTAACAATTATGGATACCTTATTAAATTACAATATGTTCTATTTATTCACTCTAGATATTTTGCATCACTTAACTAAAACCTTGAGAATGTTGTACTAGTAACTTGATCAAAGAAAATATTTTCATGATAACATCATCCTTACATTCTTAACAATGCCATAATTTCATAGCTCAATTTTATGTCAACTCATTTAGGATAAATATAACATAGGTAATAATATAAAATTAAAAAATAGGAATCAATATATATTTATGTATGATCAACTAATGCATAAAGACTCACTTTTAGTAGTTAACGAAGTACTTGCCTAGCATATCTGAGATCTTCATCCAATCTACAATATGAAAAAATATGAAGAAACAGGAGAAGTAGGAAAATAAGAAATAAAAAGATGATGATGACAATGATGATAACGAAGATGTAGACAAAGACAAAGACCAAGAAGAAAAAGAAGACAAGAAGAAACCCAGAGAAATGAGGAAAGATGTATGTTTACATTTTCTCCCACAAAATACATCTTGAAAGAGGAATCCTATTTTCTGTGAATGATTACTTCTTGTCTGAGCAAGCAGCATATTTACTGGAGGAAAATATAGGAGTCAGCAGGGCCCAGGAACAGTAAGAAAATAGATTCCTTTATGTCATATGCCAGAAATAGTTACACACAAATTATCCATTCCTTTCCATGCTCAACCCACTCAATGTAAGAAAGGCTATTAAACTCCATGTTTTCTCAACATTTTACAAGTAATTTTTACCCATCAAGAAACAATGGCAACAAAGCAAACAAACAAAATACACAACAATGTAAACCAAACTGTTAGTTTGTGAAATATTCGTACATCCCAGGAGGAAGAAGGGTGAATCCCAAGAGACAGACTTTTTAGATTTTGTTTTCTCTTGCTTGATTGTTTTATTCAGATTTATTTGTTTTCTTTTTAAATCTTTTTATTTATTCCTTGGTGTCTGTTTGGGTTTCTTTTTTACCTTTTCATTGGTTATTTGTGAATTTCACATCATGCACACTAATCCCACACATCGCCCCCTCTCATTGTATCCACCTTCCACCCTTGCAACAGACAGAGACAGAGAGAGACAGAGAGACAGACAGAGAGAGAGAGAGAGAGAGAGAGAGAGAGAGAGAAGAACATCATTGTGGAAGCTGCTTTGTGCCATGGTGTGTTGCAAAATATACCCTTTTGTTTACACTTCTTTGCATGCAATTGTTCATTGCAGTGACTCTCTGGTCTGGTACAAGGCCTCTGGCCTCTGGCCTCTGGCTTCTGCTACACACTCAATCCTGGAACCTCAATGGACTGACTCTCTGGATATTGAGTTGTTACCTTGTGTCATGAGATTCTGAAATTTTGGATCTGTACTCCAGCAGTTCAGTGATAGGGTAGATATCGGGGTTGTAGACAGCCATGGATGTAGGCCTGAGATGTATCTGCGCTGGTCCCACCATTGATTTCCCCACTCTCAAGCTCTTGCAGCTTGCTCACCTGCAATTCCCAAATCCACCGCCAGCTTTCCTGTTCTGCCCAGGCAATGCGCAGTGACTGATTTGTAGCTGAAGCAGCTAAGAGGCAGCTAAGAGGCTTGCTCTCATGACCTTGTCAGGGCCAACTCTTCTTTGTCCACACCACTCACTACATGAAAGATAAGTGGTAGCTCCATCTTTCTCATGCTACTATCTTTGGCTAGCTTACCTACAGTTTTACAATGCCCTGTTTCTCTCTCCAAAGTACTGCAACTGGCTAGGGGTAAGGTCATCTCTCCTGCTCTCATATCCTGACAGCCAGACTTTCCAGGATGCCTCACTCCAGGGTTGAGCCAGTTCTGTACTGACTCCAGACAACATGTCTCTTAGAGGTCGCCCAGACCAGGGATGGTCAGCTGGCTTTGAAGGTACAAGACCTCTGCTGGTGCAGGTCCAGGCACCCAGATGTAGCCCTTGTTGGAAGCATATGCCAGATCCCATCATGGTCCCTGGTAGTATAACCAGCCATTCATGTCAGGATGTTCCTCACCATCCTCCAGGAGTCTCTAGTTCTGTCTCTTTTCATTGTGCCCACAGCCTTCTGTTTCTCCCTCTTTTCTACCTATTCACTACCCAGTAGCTCCTTTCAGTGGTACTGGATTCTTGACTGTCATCCCAGGAGTCATCTCAGGACTACTATACCCTGCTCATACATTATAGCTCAGGGCAAGGGCCATCTCTGGCATGCTCTGCCCCACTACCCCGAACAGGTCTGCAGAGCACTTAGCTCACTGCCTGCTCCCTGTAGGGCTCACTTGACTGGGCTCATGCAAGGGACATCTGTCTTGAGATCACATTTGCCCAGGACTGAGGTCCCAGGTGGGCTTCTTCTAGTCTCTGTCTTGCTCCCCATCCTGGGATCCTGGGAACCCTTGGCACTGAATTGGTGGTAGTCTGAGGTTGAGTTTTTACAGGGAATGTTAGGCTACTAATCATTCAAATATTCTTAGGTCAGAATGCTGAGCCTAGACATTGCCTTTCTCTTCTCTGCAATCTACAGAGGCACCTGTGACACAGCATCAGTACCTGGAAGGCCTCTAGGTGCAGGTGTATTTTCTTTTTTATAATTTTTGAAACCTTTATTTATTTTTATTACAATTTATTCACTTTGTATCCCTGCTGCAGCCTCCTCCCTTGTCTCCTTCCATTCCTACCCACTCACTCTTTCCCCCCATGCTCTTCCCCTAGGCCCCTGATAGGGGAGGTCCTCCTCCCCTTCTATCTGACCCTAGCCTATCAGGTCTCATCAGGGCTGACTTCATCATTTTCCTCTGTGGCCTGGCAAGGCTGCACCTTACCAGGGGGAGGTGGTCAGAGAGCTGACCACTGATTTCGTATCAGAGACTTTCCCGATCCTTTACTAGAGAACCCACTTAGAAATTGAGCAGCCTATGGGCTTCCTCTGAACAGGGTGTCTAGGTCCTCTCCATGCAAGGTCCTTGATTGGAGTATCAGTCTCTGCAGGACCTCCTGGGCCCAGATTAGTAGGCTCTGTTCTTCTCCTTCTGGAGTTCCTGTCCTCTCCAGGTCTTTTCAGCTCCCTCTTCTTCCATAAGGTTTCCTGCGCTCTGCACAAAGTTTGGCTATCACTGTCAGTATCTCCTGCGATACTCTGGTGGGTAGAATCTTTCACAGGTCCTCTGTGGAAGGCTCCTGTCCTGTTATTGTCTTCTCCTACTTCCAATATCTATCCTGTTTGTCCTTGTGAATGAGGATTAAGCATCTTCCCCAGGGTAGTCCTTCTAATTAGCTTCTTTGTGACTATAGAATTTAATATGTTTGTCCAATATTATATGGCTAATATCCACTTATAAGTGAATATATACCATATGTGTCTTTCTGCTTCTGGCATACCTCATTCAGAATGATCTTTTCTAGTTTCTACCAGTTGCCTGCAAATTTCATGATTTCCTTGTTTTTAATTGATGAGTAGTATTTCATTGTGTAAATGTATCATACTTTCTATACCCATTCATTCATTGAGTAATCTAAGTTGTTTCCAGATTCCAGCTATTACAAATAGAGCTGCTCTGAACATAGTTGAGCAAATGTCCTTATTCAGGGGTGGGACATGTTTTGGGTATATGCCTAGGAGTGGTATAACTGGATCTTGATGTAGCAATATTCCTAATTTTCTGCTGAAGCACCAGATTGATTTCCAAAGTGGTTGTACAAGGTTACATTCCAGGTGTCTGTGTTCTAAGGAGAGAGAGAAATCATGTGGGTCTAGACAGGAGGGGAAGTTGGAAATAGTAGGAGGAGGGGAAATTATAATCAGAATATATTATGTGACAAAAATATTTTCAATAAACAGAAATAATTGAAAAAAATGAAAAGAAGATACCAAACCAAAGTCATCATTCTAGTAAGCAAACAAACAAGCAAAGAACTGTACTGACCAGAATTGCAATTTGTAATTTTTTTTTTCCTCCAAGTAGTTTATCTGTCAAGATTTTGTAGTAAAATTTTCCATAGGGAATGGAAGATTTGCAAAGGCAGGGGTGTCCAGGCTCATCATTGAAAGTGTTTCTGTTAGACTGTGTAAATGAAAGTTGATAAATTTGGTACAGGTTGAATATATAATAAAGAGATCCGCTTTAGAGTCGGTAGCTACTTAATAGATAAATCAAAATCTGGGAAGTGATTTTTAGGTGAAAGTATCAGGAAAACACATATTCTTAGCAAATAATTGGTTCCTCAAAATAGAAATGAAATTAATACCGTCAGTATTCCCATGAAGAACACATTTAAGTAAGATACATCTCAAATTCTACTTTATTCGTTTCTAACTGTAACTGTGTTGTAATAGCCCCAACTACATTTGGACAGCCATTATTTTATTTTAGTAAAAAAGTTAATAATGTCAATCTCATAATGATTGGGATTATTTAACAAGATTATGTCACTCAGGAACAGACTTCCAAAGAAGGAGAAGAATTATTCAATAGTAGAGCTTTGTTATTTTCTATCATTTAAATATCCTTAGGTTTAGAACAGACCTTCAAGGTGACTGAGGATGAGACAACACAGTGGTTTGATCTTTTTTTTTTTTTTAGGCTTTCTATGGGTTCTAATGTGATCATAAATTTAATTTGCAACACTGTTATTACAATGATATTGTGCATCTACTTAGTGAACTAGTATACATTAGAAAACTTTGCAGTACAAAACTCTGTATTAGCTGCATACATTTTTATAGTAGTTTTCAGAGTTTACTTTCCGTTTCAAGAATAAAACTTTAATCAGAACCAACCAGAGAGGAAAGGGTTTATTTTATTTTAGAAGTCTCAAGTCGTAGTCCATTACTAAAAAAAGTCAGAGCAAAAACTCTAGGTAAGAACCTGAAGGCAGGATCTGAAGCAGAGACCAGGGAAGAAGGTTGCATACTAGTTTGCTGCCCCAGGACCACCTTCCTAGAATTGGCACAGTCACAGTGGGCTGGTCATAATTACTCCAACAGATATGACCACAGATCAGTTTACTATTGGAAAATCCTTAATTGACATTTCTTTCTCCAAAATATGTCTAGGCTCACATCAAGTTGAGAAAACCAACCATAACAGTACCAATTTAACAAAGGATTTCTTAAGTTCCTGATGCTGGGTTCGCTAAACTCTTTAAAAACGCAATTAAAAATAAAATGAATGCTATGTTTCAACTCCCCAGTTATTTGATTCTATTTTTTAGCTCTATGCTTATTACAAAAATTAAATAAACTCTAGCAATACCTCAATTTTCTTTCTCAATGTAAATGAAATCTTGAAAGAATATTTTGAGATGCTTTCATGTTTCTGAAGGAGGTATTCATTTCTATAATTACAATTTACCTATCACCAGAAGAAAAATCTTGTGTTAAGGAAAAGGAGCTTATGCAATAAACATTGTTCCAAAAGTCTTCATTTGTTCAGTAAGTTAAATAATAACTTTGAAGTACTGTAAGATGTGAATTTAGGATTATTTGTCACAATAAGAAGTAAAATACGTGTTCTGAAATTCAAATTTTAATAAAGAATATTGTTAGTGTACTTCTCAGTTTTAAGAATTACTGAGTCATTGAATCATCAGCTACAGACCCGAAGTCTGTGCATATTATGATACTCTAGATCACCCAGAAAGTTGTGTTATTTAAATGTCTGTGACTGGTTCTACAGTCCCGATGGTTTCAAAAGTCATTCTAAATTTTATTTTGAAAGAAAGACAGACTAATGTCATTAATATTATGTGGAATTAAAATAGGTTAATTTAACGAAGGAGAAAAATACACACATATAGTAGGGATATACTAAACTTTAACACTAATAGAAAACTACGGGCCCAGATTCAGCCTAAGATTCAGGTAATTCTGTTTTTCAGTATAACTGTCAAGAGCTAGGCTTTGTGTTACATTTGCTCACAATTCTTTTTTCCATGCTGATTTTTCTCTATTGATGTCTTATTATCAACAATTGCAAGAAGTGTAGCATTAATATTTCCTTAATTTCTATTCCATGAGTAAAGACATTTTTCCTCTGTCTTCTGAATGTGGACATCATTCAAAGAGTGTCTTTTTCACATTTATGTCTGAACTGGCCAGAGCCACCAGATTATGAAATGCTTTGAAAGGTGATATTCAGACTAGATGATGTGTCTGCTAATGGAGAGCAAAAACATTGCCTTACCAAGAGCAGGTAATCCAAAACAAAGTAGGCTTTTCAAACCCAAAGAACATTCATGTATATCCTTAAGTGCCAAAAGACGTTAATTATCTTACAGTAGAATGAGTTATTTTTTTGCGGGGTACTTGGCAAATGCTGTCTGCTTTTGCTACTATATCATATTACAATAGGTTCACTATGTAACATCAAAAGAATCCAAGTTAATCCTATTCATTATTGTTATTGAAGCATGTCAAAGCATCTGGAGTATAGACCCTGCATGTTGAAATTAAGTGCTTGCTGAGTGAATAATTAGACTGGGAAAATAATTGAACATCTTTTCCAGTCAGATATTCCTCTTAAATGTTAGCAATAATGAAATACTAATTAGGACAGTTTTATTACTACTCTAAATCAGTAGAATTATTAATATAAATGAAATAATATCCCAAACAAATAATGAACACTGAATAAATGATAAAGCCTTCAGTAGATGTTTTCTAATGAGCGCTTCTCTGGAAGACCAATGTCACTATGTAATTTGAAAGTTTTATCAATGTGGACAGATTTATGTTTCAATATTATAATTGATTACTGTAAGATAAATCTATTCATATGGCTAGTGTTCTGATTTTAATGAAATTGCTTCCCATAGTTAGTTGTTTCCATAGTATTTCTCAAGAGAGAATGGCATGATGTTTTGTTTTAAGTCCTTGCAGGATAACTGATCTGGAGTCATTAGAATATGGTGTTATGCACAAACAACTAGACAGGAATTCTATTACAGATGATTAGTCAACCATGAATTCAGCATCCAGCAGATGGACAGCTCCAATGTGCCATATGAATTATGTGCATTACAGCTGCCATTCTGGTAAAGATGAAATGATCTTGATAAACAGCTGCAGTTTTCTTAGGATTCTAGGCAAAGCACCCAGTGTAAGTTTTTATTGCCTCATCCCATGGCATAGGAAGGGCTGATTACCTTGAAGGAAGGTTGGGTGTAAAAGTTTTTATAGTCTGCTGTGTTAACTTTATATTTAAGGGTCATCCATATTTACATTTTGAGCACCAGCACTGTGCTATCTCATGTGTAGTTTATGTGCCTATAACTCAAAGTGAACAATGCTAAAATTCTTCAGGCTATTAGCTAATGAATGAAAAATGTGTCTGGCATGGGTCTATAAAAGGGCAAAAAATAAAAAGTTGAGGCACTGGAATTTTAGATGGTCAATTGCATTTATTTAGAGACTGAAGCAAGTCAGTTTATTCATGTTCCTAGTCAATACTGTAGATATTTCTTATTTCAAAAGATATTTCAAGGACCTTGGTCCTGTTGTCCCCTGAGCAGTGCCAGGGCTTCCAAATCCTCTAACAGTTAAAGTTAAAGAAAGAAATTATTAATAAAATTGCT